TTTCTTGCTGGGGTTATAAAGAAGACTAAAACGAAGCTAACCCAATTAGCTGATTTCATCTTTCTCTTCTTTCTATATTTGGCCAAATTGGGTTTGATTTTGTATATTGGTTTGGTTGTTCTTTTGGTTTGTAGCTTATTTATTTCTTAGATTAGAGAGAGAAACGTTGAACAACAACATACATCTTTTAACACTACAATCTTGTCTCCATTGTCATTTGAAACAAGTTTAGGTGAGAGAATCTTCTCATGACAAAAGAATCTCATCACAAGCCATTTCTTTTAAGAGCTTTCTTTCTTTATTTGATTATTGTATCAAATGAATATAAATTTGTTGGTATTAACAATCATTTGGATATAAAATAAATTATCTATCTCCAGCTAAAGTTGATTGAATTGAAATTGGAAAGGACCCAAGAAACAGTACAAGCTTGAAGAAAACCTGCGACAATATAAAGTCTAGATCACATCCACAGATAGATAACTTGAAAGCAATCATACAGCCATGTCTCTACTTTTCCTTCCTTTTTTCTTTTTCTCTCTCTTTACTTCTTTTCCTAACATTATGAGGCCCAAAATAGTGGGCCCTATTGCTGGATGGATCTTTAGGATGACCCAAAAGGGAGATCTTAATTATTGTTGTTCTGTTGGACTTTGGGAACAGATGTGCTTCCAACAAAAATTTGACAAAATAAAGATTTCAAGGATCCATGAAAGTTACTATTGTTTATTTTCTTCATCTATACGATGAATTCTTTTCCTAATGTTATTATTATGACAGGAAAAGTTGAAACTTGAAAGGAGCTGTAGGAAAGAATAATCTGTCAATAAAAGGGAATCATGTAAAGGTTACCATGGCACTGCAACTGCTAAAAGATGACCCACAAGTTTCAACCATTCAACTAAAATCYGTGTCTGTTGCAAATGATAATGAAAGGGATTTACAACCACTTAGAACAAGAGGAGACACCATCCTTGGATTCCTCTGAAACRTTGGAATGGCCTGAGGTAGAAACATTATTTCCTGCTTATTCACAGATGTGGAAGAACAGGGAAAACATTAGTAAAGAATACTGACCACTACAGAGTGTAAGATCACAAAATTGAACAAGTTTTGCAACAGCTGCTGAATCAAGACCTTAGAAGTTTCGAGCTATAGTTCRACAAGGATCCAGAGCCAAGCAGCGATCTCTCTTCGTATTTTTCGACAGGTAGTGCTGGCTGTTCCAACTTCACTAGAACAACATGGTCTCCTTGATGGTTTTCCTCAAGTAAACTGCAATTGGCTGGAGTCTGGACAATCAAATTGTCTCAGAGATYTGATCACTTCTAGAACAGTCTCTATTTTGGCTAGCTACTGCTCTTTCTTTCTATTACATGCAAGACACAGTCTTCTACAAATTCTGCCCGTCTCCTTGTCTTGTCTTGGTACTAAAAGATCAATCAGATGGAAATAAAATGTTGCTGAGAAAGTTAACCGAGAAAAGAAGAATATATTCTTTTTATGTTTATAGAAAAGATGGAAGTGATGGAAGTAATCAAACCAAGGAAATGAAACAGTAGACATCTACTTATATCTATCATACAGACAGCCCCAAATACATCTAAAAGACAACTCCGTACTATAATGTCCATCTATCCTGTGGCATCATGGAATTTTAATATACTTAGTGAGAAGAGCAAGTCTGGATTTATCAAAGAAACTAAAATTGGCATAGAAGAAGGAAACCTGAACTATCATTAATATATGTTATATAACAATCAGATACAGAGGGAAGCACCAGAAATCAACCATGTCCATCAGAAATTCTTGGAAAAAGGAGCTACATTACAAAGGTGGAAGTTTCCAATTCCATTTGCAAATGTCAGTGAAGAAAGCAATTGTCTCGGGGTCAATTCTTTTATATACAATTCTTAGGGAGAAGAAGGTTCCACTGGGAATGAATGGGAAGACTGAAAGTACTATTTGCACCTTGGCAACCTTTGATCACAGGGCAACTACGGGGACCTCTGCAGCAACAAATGATATGGGTAGAATGACATTATAATGAATGTGCTACATTTCTTATCTACAGGAGTAAGTTTTCAACTTGTCACAAACAAAATGTMGATATACACAATCAGATCACAAGGCCTCTTTTTACATGCGAAGCATGACGATTTGTTTCTGATAAGCAGGGATGAAAACTATGAATTTTGTCATAATGGTAATTTTACTAAAAAAAAAATATTGAGAGGAAAAATGATTCAACATCGTTAACAACGAAAACACCAARTCTACTTTGGGGACATAAATCTCATAACGAGACTTGTAAAACTCAAAGCCACTATAAAAGTTTATTTTGATAATCGGAAGTCRAAACTTTGCTGTCCAATAGAGACCCGCACCCGTCCTAAGGCCTGAATGCCTGAGGCAKCAATGATTTTTTTAGTATTAAACTCACTCGAATATTTGAACTTGAGACCTCTAARCCCGTATGACYAAGAGATCCCAAGTTATTGTCAACGGAGCCACTATAGAAGTTTTTAAATGACCGTTACAATGATTAATGGATAATGATAGATCAAAATATTGAATATTGGATATATTTCCTTACATCCAGTACCTTCTTGATTTGATCAATAGTTCTATTAAAATAATGTCAAACAAAAAACTACGTAGCCCTTCAAAGAATTTCATTAAATTAATAGTCCCAATACACCCTAATATCTGAAGAATTCTCATTCAACAATAATCAGCGGCCTCTGCCATTAGAATAAAAAAATTATTAAATAGAGACCTTGTGATGTGAGTGTCTAATGAGAATTATTATCGAAGGATACGAGCATGTTCGGTTGATAGATTTCACATCATTGAAGTTTAATGCATATATAATTTTCGCCACCTGTGGAAATTCCTCATCTATAGTCACACAAAGTTTGAAATTCTATCAGCTAATTGAAAAGCTGTGATTTGCTTCAGAACGAATTGCCGGTTAATGGTTACTTGTTGCTAAAAGATTCTCAAGTTTGAACCAATACTCTAATACATTATAAGAACCAAAGTTTGAACCGCTTGAATCAACTCTCGCGCTTTTGTAAAGAATAATCAGTGTGCCCAAGTAGATATATGTTTTCATTCTTAATTACAGTGATTTAGCATTTAGAGGGAGAAGATCCTCTCAAGTTGGTGGAGATTATTGCTTGTTTCTGTGAATTGACTTGTTGAACACCCGGGTTTATTCTTTGCCTGTTTTATCCTTCCCATCATTTTATTCACTGCCCAAACTATTATTTCCCATCTTCTTTGCCATGTTCTTTTGAATAACTTCCTTTCTTCATGAACTCCAGGTTCTCTCCTTAACAGCAACCAAACGATATATTATGTGCATAATTTGGAAGGAAAAAGTTATCCTCCAAACTCAGGGATACTAGCCAAGGAGCCAACTCAATAAACTAAAATCAACTCTACATGATTCCGCCAGGGGGTAATCCACCTTCTATCAACTGAAGCATTATGTGCACGCAATGCTAAACTAAAAAGACACATTAGACACAAAAAGAAAAAATAAGATCGTTCAATTTGACAGGGAAAAAAAAGCGTCCGGTTAAATGATTGCAGTTATAGACAACAAATTCCATAAGAAATCAAACATCACAAGCGTAGAAAGAATTCATATGAACCTGTAAAGACCATCCAAGTTGACAGTAGCTAGAGCGTGGATCAGGTGGCTGAGTTCTGAACATAGACATCGCCATTCCCATTCCCCAATGCCTCGACAACTGAACCAGTGAAGGATCTGTGTTCGCTCTTCCATGGAAAAGAAGGTCTAATGTGGGCCGGCTTTGAACTTGAATGTGCTCAACTTTGATATTGGGCCTCACGGGCTATTAAGCCCAACTAGAACTATTCACCTCGGGTTGCTATTTAAACCCGCATAATTTCTTGGTACACCCACAAATTTAGAAAGACAAAAATTTTGCTTGCTTGTATAAATTGTTTTTTTTTTTGAGACGTTGTGTAAATTGTTTTAGAATATATAAAACATCTCTAAACAGAGTATTTCGTTGTCTTTTTATGCTATCTTGATTTGAAAAGGTTTAGTTTAAAAATTTTGACGTCATAATTAATAAATTTTAATTATACCATTACCAAATAAAAATAGCTAGTTATAACATTTTCCTTGAGATAAAATGTAAACCACCCCAAATTAAAAAAAGATATTTTATTTTCTGGTGTTTCTTTTTCCTAATAATTCGTTTGGCAAGGTTACTATTTGTACAAACAATTGACATTTTGTTATTAATCATGTGTAATTAATGACTGGAAATGAAAAAAAAAAAAAAAACAGAAATAAGCTTGCATGGGAAGTTTAGATCTGCATTTCACAATTGTGACTCTATAATCTAGAAAGAAACATAAGAACAAAAAAAAAAGTTAAATTTAAAGATTGTGTTTAATTGGTTATTGACTTTAAAAATGATTTAATAAATTTTAAACTTTATTTGTTGTGTCTAATCAATATTGGAACATTTTTTTAGTACGATAAGAATCCTTAAATTTTAGAAAACATGTCTAATAAATTTCTACATTTTCTATTTTTGTATTTGATATATACTCAATTTCAAAACATTTTTTCAAAATTTAATGATCCATGGAATACAAAGTTGAGAATACAAGTATAACACTTATAAAAGTTTAGAAAGGATACTAGTCACCCTATTGAAAGTTTATAATTATATCAAGCATCTTTGTAATACAATCTTCAAACCTTTGGACTAAACTTGTAATTCAAATAATAACAATAATAAATAACTTGTTTCCAAAATTTGTTTACTATTTTATTGAATTCCAAAACTCCAGAACTCCCGTAGAATGAAAATGGAAAAAAAGAAGACAAAAATCGAAAACCAATCTCCAGCATCTCTAAAACTTGAGTGGAGTGAATACATCACAAAAATAACAAAACCAAACAAACAAACAAATAAAAGAATTGAAGCAAACAAAGAATAAGTAACAAAAAAGAATGGAAAAGTTTCAAATCGATGGCATTGGCATTGCGAGGGCCTCCATTTTCATGTCCGCATAGAACTTCTGAATGAACAATTCAGCCCTGTGATCAATCGAATCATCTTCATCTTCGCTCCACTCCAACGCCTCCAAAAACTGCCCTGCCTCTTCCTCTGCCTCCTCCACTCTGTAATTTCCATCCCGGAAACTGCCACTGCTCAGGCATGATCTGCACGGAAACAGCAGCGAATACACATGGCGGCGGCGGCTGCGGCGGCCGGATCTGTGATAATGAATGAGAGGAGTGGCGGTGGACGGGGAGAATTGGTAGTGGTGAACAAACCCATAATAAGAATTAGGGTGCCTTGCAGTCGCTGATTTCTTGAAGAAAAGGAGCTTTGGAATGATGGGTTTTCCAATTCTAGTGATAAAGATGGAAACTTTGAGGAAATTTGAGAGCTTTTGGAAGACGAGTGGCATCTTTGCCTGCATTTTTAGGAGGCTGAAGAAGCTGAAGGCTATTTGAAGGTGACGGAGGAGGCGCGGAGAGAAACAGGGATGACGTGGCGGAATGTGATTAGTGGTGGGGAGCCAAGCTGGAAAAGGTCGATGTGGTCAGTTCAACTTTGGACTTATTGGGAAGGAATAACAATCTAGCCGTTAGTATTGCATTTATTTATTTTATGTTTTTATTATTATTTCTTTTTGCGTTCTATGCTGTAAAGTTTGAGGTTTTGACCCGTTTGAAATTTCAAAGCCATTCTTGAGGAATGAGGAGACTGCATTAGAGAAAAAAAAAAGTATTTCTTTTAATTCGAAGAGCACATTTATGCTTGCTTCTTAAGTTATTTCTTTGAATTTGAGAATGTTTTAGAAAATAGTACTCTCTTATTTTTAGTAAAAGTTCTGTAAAAACATATTTTAAAAGTTTGTTATATACATTGTTATAATGTAAAAGGGGTTTGACAACCTAATAGACTTGAATTTATTTTACCCAACACACGTTGGTTGGGTCAAGGTGGATCATAAGTTTATTCTTTTGTCAAAACAAAAATTTATTAATTAAATTGACTTATTTGGTCTTCAATAGTTAATTTATTTAACTATTCGTGTATAAGTATATAAATAAGACACCAATTACTTTGTTTAAAGTTAATGGTTTAATTTTTCACCCTACAATTATTAAACTCTAAGATAAAAAAAATTAATTAGCCTACCATTATTACTAATTTGTAAACCTTTTTTTTCAATAAATTACACAAGCATATATGTCTATTTTAATTTTTTATATATTGAAAATTTATGGCTTCCCCCAGAATAAATAAGTCTTTAGTTGAATGACGGAAAATTTCACTATTTTTTTAGCAAATTACTTAAATAACCCAAATCAACCTGACTTTAACATTTTATAATAGTTTGGTTGGATTTTGTTTTTAAAAAATTACATCATAAATAAGTTGGTAGAAATTTTAAAAATATTTTTAACCCGTTGATCGAATCTATCATCTATTTTAGTCTGAAGTATGAAGAATTGCAAGAGGGTAGTTTTTAACACAAGTCCACCCATAATAGTAAACATCTATAATTTTCGGGTCCCAAGAGAATTCATTAAAAAAAATAAAAAAAATTAATAGATCAATATATACTATTTCAATTTGGATGCTATTTCTTCCTATAAAATAGTAAACATCATAAAAAAAAAACGAGTTTTGTTGAACTTGAACCACGGGTCAAAATATAACAATTGTGACTTTATTTTCTTTATATGTATATTTGACTTTGCAATTGGGAATGCGCTTCTACATTTTATTATTAAGTAAACAAATAATTAATTTATCATAAATTAAATAATCTTGCCTTTTGTTTTCACAAAAAATAATATTGTTTTTTAATGAAGATTTTAAGCTAATAAAATATTTAATATAAATAATTGTAAATTTGTCAAGATAAATTATAAAAATGGTATAAATATAAGAATATTCAATATTTATGATACGGAAACAATACATCAATGATATATTTTAGATAAGTATAATAGTGATATAGATTTATCARTGATATACTCTAGTGGTAATTAATATCAACAATATATTTATCTTTTTTAGAAAGAAAAACAAACTTTATCTATGATAGAAAAAAAGGTACAGTGATAAACTTCTTGGATGATATAAAAATCATATAATGGTGAAATATTATATAGTGATAAATTTTAATTATAGTAGATAAATAAGTGATTATGAATGGTATATAAGAAAAAAATGTGTCGTATTTGTAAAATTTTTGTCTGTGATAAATTTATAAATATGACAGTTTATTTGAAATCATTATTCTAGGTTAGAAATTAATATAAGTTTGGAGTTTCATTTTGCAATAAATATAGCATTGAATCAAAAGTATATATAAATATAATTTATAAACCAAATTAAAGGGAGACTTATTTATTTTTGTAATATAATACTGCAACCAAATATATTAAAAAAATTTAATATTGTTATAAATATTATATAATAAGGTATGGCATGCCTATAAATGATGGATATACCTTGTTTTGGATGGAAGTATATAGATGCCACATATGCAACACTATGCCAGCAAGAATTCCAAGGCCAATGAAGCTTTCTTCCCCTTTAAACATTCCTCGAAAAATCACCATTTATGTTGCAGCTGAATTGGATTTGATAACGGAAAAGTAAATATTAAATTTCCTTAAATTTTAAATTTATAATAAAGTTAAAAGGCTAAATATATATGCTTTAGTTCATCGTTAAGTTAGAATTCTAACCTTCTAATTGGACAAGTCGCCCCGAGTGAAATAGACAAAGGGAAGATATGTGCAAAAAGATCTGTTGACACTTCGACGTTCAAAGTTGGTATTAGTTTGAATTACCGCCGCTCTCAAGACAATTAGCTAATCAGAATTGCATATACATGCATACGAAACAAGTACTCTCTATCTAATACGAGTAGGTTGGTGGGTCCCACTCGCCTGTCGCTTTTTATGATTATCGAAAGATAGTCAAGCTACAAATTAAGGTTGAGGTATTACGTGGTCGGGCTAAAAATAATTGTCGAGGTATTGCTCTTTGGAAAATTGGTCCGAGACTTCACACCTCATCATTGAAACTTTTTTTAACAACACCTACTAATTTAATTAAAAAAAACAAACTAAAACACTAAAACATATATTTAACTTAAATCAAAATATTAAGTATATATTTTAAATAGTTATTCCTGCATGCAGATGTTTGGACCAAGTCGGTATGTATATTACTAATTTAATGTATATTGGATTAAGTTACAATTCAATGTAAAAGTTTAAATTAATAAGTCATCATAAATTTAGTTATTTTATATAATTTTTAACGTTAAAAAATAGACAAATTCTTCTATGAATTAATAGCAAGTTTTCTTTTTCTTTCTTTAAAGATAAATACAATTATATTGCCCAACTATAGAATGATATTACATGACAAATTTTAAAATTGCTAAATTAAAATAATAGAGAGAGAACTAAAAAAGTATATGATTATTATTACTCCAAATATCATACGTAATTGGAAAAGTTTTTATTTCTCCAATACTGATTATTCTTTGTGTGGTAATGATTGAAAAGTTGGTTTCCAATGACGCCTTAACCAACAATAATTATGGCTTTGAAATAACTCAATATTTTTTTAGCATTATGTCTAAAAATAATTTTAAAAGATATATTCCTAAAACTTGAAGCAGGATCAATCTGAAAATCTTGATTTATTTTAAAAGACAATAAAAATTGGAGAAACATGTTTTCCTAATACAATATTTTCTTTCCAATTATTCCTCTTTGTGTCGGTATCAAATACGTTTTTCTGGCAGATTTGAAAATTGAATCTCAATTTTAAAAAATTGTTGTTGTGTTGAATAATATATTTATAAAATAGTGGTGGTTACAAACTAAATATTTAGTTCAATTTAAAATATTATTATATATGTTATAAATTTTGTATAATTATTATTTAAAATATATATATATATATGAAGTAGTATATTTATCAAAATTTTTATTTTGGATCGAAAGTATTTGTTTTTATTTTATTTGAAAACAAGAAATAGAATTCGATTCAAATTTTCTACCAAACAGGCCCTAAACATACCATCACTATTTTTATGGATCAATGACCATTTATCTTTAATCTCAATTTACAACAAAAATTTAAAGGTAATAATTCATTACATTAGCAACGCAAAACCTATGCAATATTGCAACTTATATTTATATTTATAGCATAGATGTACTTATAGAAAAAAATCTTTAAAAATAATAGTTTAGTTCGTTAATTTGATTTCGAGATTTTAAAATTAGCTTAATAATTTTGTTCAATTTTGATTGATTTGGTGGTTAATTTTTATCAATTTAATTTTATATATATATTTTTTGAAATATTCAATCGGAGAAAATTGCAAGGTTGCCAATTATTAGGCATTACATTAGAGATAGCATCAAGCTGAGATTGGCAGGGCCTGTGATGCTTTCACGAATTCTGACAGAAAAAAATTTCATGCTTTTTTTAATTAAAAGAATTATAAAAATTTGTTAGGTGGAATTATTTTTTCAATCATCTATTATTTTCAATTACCAATTTCATAAAATAGTCAACAATTTTAATTAATGTACGTAAAAATGCTAGGGACATGTTAAAAGAAAAAATACTTGAAATTTTAGCGATGGGAAGGAAATAAATATAGGTTAAACTTTCAAGGTTGGGGCAAAAAATTTAAATCAAAAAGATTAAATGTGTCTTCAACTCTATGGTTGATTTTCTTCCAAAAAAAAAAAAAGCCTCTATGGTTGATGTGGAAAAACTCCATTTATAAGCATAAATAATCCTAGGTAGTAATTAGTTGGATCCAAGGTCATCCCATGGAGAGTAATTAATGCAAATTTTAGAATTGAGATCCAACCCGTGCTAATATTAATCACAAATATTATATGATCCTGATGCAATTAAGCAAAATTAACAAATTCAAGCTCGACGCGAGGAGATTAAATATATATATATATTTTTAGAATAACATGGGTGGAGAATCTAACTCAAAACCTCATGATTGGAGGTATATGTCAATTACTTGAGCTATACCCACCATGGCAAATTCTAATAATTTCAAAACTATGCAACCATTTGACAACAATTAAGATAAGAATAAATTGATAATTAAGACACTATCATTTACAGGATTTCATGGCTTTTTCTTGACAAAACTGTATTGTTCAGTAACAAAAACACTTAAATAAATGCCCAAAAATCATTTCTAACTCTCGAATTTTAGTTTGAGATGAGTTGTTGAGTATGTGAAGACGTGCTTCGTGTGTCAACAGGACAAGGTCGAGCGGGACAGACTCTTGAGATTCTTGGAATCGTAGCTGTATATAGCGAATGAAAAAAGCGTTCATCCTGGATTCTCTTCCTCAATAAAAATGTCAAGAAATTGATCCCTATTCATTCGATCAAAGTCTCCAATTCAAACATGGGTTTGATTCACACTCCATGTTATGAGAAATATTTACCATCCGTTTCTGGTCAAGACGGGACAGATAATGTGGCGACAACTAGGGAGAACAAGTCATTCGACAGGGAGATTATGAAATTGCGGAGGCCTTACCTTAGTTGGATCTCACTGGTGCCAGCCTAAACGGTAGGTAGGAGACGGATGTGTGACGTTTGGAGCGAAAATAGATGGCGAGTGCCTAATCGAATTGATCGGATCATATAGGAACAAGGTTCAAGCCGTCATCCGTCTGGAGCCTTTTCTTCCACCTCTCCTCTCCAATCATCTATCAAACTTGCGTTCCCTAGACGCTATAAAATGTGGGTCTTTCCTTCACCTATCGTATGTCCTTCGACAGTTAAAACACCCCATAGATCCGATCGTTCACTCTTTTAGACCCTTAGTTTCACTTGGTTGGGGCAGAGTTTTGCCTTCCATCCTGAATGGAAGGGAAGAATGTGGATAGATGGAACCAAAGAGGAGCTCCCCCGACTTAGCGCACCATTTACTAATCTCATCTTTTACGCAATCAATCACCTTTTGACTGTACAATAATATGTGGAGCTCGACATGTCTCGAAGCGTAGGAGAATGTTCTTTTGCTGATATTATCACCAGTGTTCGATATTGGGTCATTAGAACGCCCATGTTGTGGCAATTCCACTCATAAGATAATAGGTTATTCCTATAGCACGTCCTTGCACAATGCTCAACGCTCCAGGCTGAGCAGCTGGAGCAACTTTTAATCTATTATGAACCCAAACAATAGATTCAATAAGTTCTTGTCATTTTAAGCCTAGTTTACCATATTTTTATGAAGGCATAGCTTTAACATGTGAGTAGCTCAAATTTTCTAAATGTACACGCCAAAAATAACATATGTCTATACTTTTGAATTCATCGATGGATCAATTCCACTGATTTTAATCGTACTAAAATAAGCTAAATATCCAATATTTAAGTTGATCACCCTTGAGAAGGGCACATAAATTGATCATTATCTTATCTTAATGCAATTAAGCAAATCAACAAATTGGAGGAAATTAAATTAAAATTTTTATTTTTTAGGGTTTTTTTCTTGCTTGTACAGCCGCCACTGATTTATCCTCTCCGAAGGGCCTTTTCCAGCCAATCTAAAATGAGGGTTTTTATTTTTGGATAAAATCTTTCTGGTATCGTATTTTGTATTGAGCCCAAATCTTCGTTTTCTGTTAGATCACCCAATTGTGAATGATGCTACAGCAACGCCACCTCAACGTATTTTTTTTCCTCCAATTCTTAGGCTTCAAAATAAAGGGGCAATCAAAACTACAATTAACCAAATTATAATAAAATTTTAAATGAGTAAAAGAAATAAGAAAATGATCACAAGATAAACAAAAACTCAACTCCTAATTCAATTTTACTAGAAACTCACTAAAATCAATCAAGGTAAAAATGTCACAATTTTCACTCAATTTTAACTTAGAAATGAGGAGATGCTAAATTTAATCTCATTTTATGGGATTGTCAATGGTTTGTATATTCAATTAATCTGTTTTATATAAAAAAAAAATCTCCACTTTATTTGCAATATATACCTCCTTAAAACTTTTAAGATTAGTTTACAAATTTCAATCAACCCTTAAATTTTCTAGGTTATATTTATCTAGCCCTTATAATTTAAAAATCTTTATTTGAACTCTCAATTTTTTTTTTCTAAGAGGTAACTCTTTGTATCTAATAAGGCAACTGATCTAATCAACAGATGCTTAGATCAATGATTATATTATTTAAGAGTTATGTAGCTACAACGTGAAGAATTAAACATATAGTTGATTTCGAATGGGTAACGAAACGAGGTAATTTTAGTAAAGTAAAGCAAATTGTAAAAATTATGCCTTAGTTTTTTTTTTCCCTTCTGAGGTCAGCAGACCATATAATCCTTCAAAAATACACATGTAGCATGTCACAAATACTAATTACATTAAAAATTCAAATAAATATTAAAAAAAATACTTTGAAATTCAAGACTTTATAGTAATTTGGGTAAAAGTTTCGATTTAATCATGTGTAATTAAGCAGCTATACTAGTTTAGAAATTCGGGGGTGTAGCTACAAAATTTGCTAGTGGCCTAATTTAGGTTTATATCAAACCCACTAAATGCGATATATTTTAAATCTTGAATTAAGCCTAAAAATGATCCGGCGACATAAAACTAAAAGCAAAACGACGTCACATGGCCCCTTGGAATCTTCAATATATGGAGCGCAGGTT